AAGATAGTATTGCTTTTGGGGAGCAATGGGAGAGAGTGAGGCAAAAGAACCATTTTCTTGTGTTAGAATAGCTTACAGAAGAGGAGATGCAACGACACACCTTCTTGTGGCTAGAAATCAAAGTTTAGAGCTAGTTTAATTGAAATTAGCTCATTTCCCAGCTGAGTAATCCATTGGCCTGATTCTCCGTTGCCTGATGACTTGCTCAGCCATTTACAGCAGGGCACAACGAGGGTAAGATGCTACAATGGGATTGAACTGTAAATGACACAACATGAAGGGCAATAAAGAGTTTGGCCCCAGATGTGGGAAGTACAGAGGTAACTTCCATTACATTTAATTAGTGTTATCACCATTAATTTCCTGTGCATAGACAGAAGAAGACATCCTTTTGATTTCAAATTAATTAACACATAATGATTAATCTGATAGGGTACATCTTTTCAGACAAGAGTGTCCTCTTGATCACAGTTTGGGTGCCAGCACCACTCATCATCTGTGTGTTTTAATTTCTAACTGCTCTCCAGAAGCAAATTTAGCTCTGCAAATCTGTCGATGGAATGAATGACTGGCTGGTTTCCATGTTCTGTGTGTTTTGTTCATTTGATAACACACTGAGAACATCTTGGAAATCTCTTTTTTTTTTTTTTTTTTTTTTCCTCCCTCTCCTCCTCCCCTCTGAGGAGGTTTCAAGGTAGAAATTGAGGAATCTGCAACAGCGAGCAATTTATACCAGCTCTTAACTAGAGAATGTAAGAAATAAAAAAGTTTCTAAAATTGAAAAACACATAAACAGTTTATGGCAGGTTCCCAGACAGATTTGTCTCACTTCAGTTGCCAGAATTTAACAGAACCATTCTCCTTGCCATCAACTACAGTAAAGTGTGTTTGTTTCACTGAAACAGGATCTTGAACTTCATCAGCTTCGCACCATGTTCCTCACACTGCATGTTACCTACCAGATACTGCTATTAATATTACTCTTCCCTTTCCATTTGTCAAGTGATTACTCAATCACACTTTTTTAATATTTATCCACTTTCTTTAGATGGTTATGAATGCAAACAGCTCCATATCCAGGTGCAGCAATACTTGAGTAGACAGCTGATAGTTAACTTTAATATTGAGAAATATGCAAGTAAACTTGGAGTTCTAGAGATATAAATTAAGAGGTAGCAGCAAATCTCAGATACTTCAGTTAAGAAGGATTTTAAATGTCCAAGACATTATTCAGAAGAGTATTTTAGCATATTTGCAGACTGTTTAGGTATGACAGCAGTACACTAAGTATATTTTTACAGCACAAAATGAATAAGGAACAAATAATGCTTTTTTTTCAGAACCCAAATCCAGGATGAGAAGTGTCTATATTATTGACTATATGAACTCAAATATACAATTTCTGAATAAATCACTGAAGGGATGGGACAGGGATGGGGACAGAGAAAGGGAAGTTCCTAATTATTGTTTCAAAGTCTTTTATATGATACAGTTGTGTTAGGCATTCTGGCTCAGATATGCTTTTCATGGCAGCCCCTTCAGGGAGAAAAGAAAGCTCATGGTATGTATCTACCTATCTTTGCTCCAGTAAACAAGAAGAGAGATGCAGTTATTGCAGTGCCCTCAGGCAGGAACATGTGTCATTTCCTTTCTGCAGTATTCACTCTTTTCAGTTGCCATTTCTGTGGACAAACTGCTGTTTGAAGACTGAAGACTCTTGTTTTCTCTCTGTCCTGCTTAGAAACAAATGGAGATGACAAAAGTCTTTTCAATGTTTAACTTGAGCACCTGACTTTAGACAGCTAAATGAAGTTGAAGTCCCCTTTTCCCTGCCCATCAACCTGTGAGCCGTTAAGTGCAGCGAAATCATAGCTGGTGTAGGAAGACACTCATTTACTTTGTCTCCATTTGCATTGAAAGCAAGGAAAGAATTCAGTCCGATGTTCAAAGCAACCCTGGAACATCCATGGGAAAACTCACAAGTAAGATTCCCTTAAGTGCAGTAACTCTGGGGAATTAAGCTTTTTTGGAAATGCACCAGGTAGTGTAAGCTGTAATAACACTTCCAGCCTTCTTATATATTGGCAAATTTGGGTACATTTCTGTGTAAAGTCTTCGGTACAATTCTTGCTTAGAGGCCACAATCTGACTCCTTTCAAAATAGAAGTCCTACTTTTAGTTGAGACAATCAGTGTTGCTCAGTGTGAATAACTGCACTGGAAGTCAATTATATCATCATGTTGCATTTTAATCTCAATGCAATCTCACTCTTGATTGAGAGGAAACATATAACAGATAATGCTAAATAACAATAGCCAGAACTATTTCTATTTGAAACAACATAAGACTGTGATGAAGAAGGAGAGAAAGAGTTGTATTTTAAGCCTCTCAGATACATAAGGGAAAATGCGTAAATTCAGTGCACAGGTTGTCACAAGCAAGACAAAAAAACAACAGTGAAAGCAGTAACAATAGCAACAGTTTTGCAGTACACTCAGCTTGAATCTGGTCCCTTTGCTAAAAATGTTTCCTGGCTGGTCAAAAGAGACAGTCTGTGAAGGTTTGAAAAAATCAAAGCTCTTTATATCAAGTTCTTTTAACTGGAATTTAAACCAGAAAATTAAATATATATGTATTTCTCACACATATTTTACAGATCAGAAAAGGGGAAAATAAAAGGACTTTTTAAAATTTTTTACAGATTTAAATTTTTAACAACAAGAAAAAAATGATAAGCTCCAACCTGTATGGCTTGATCCAGTTGTTAGTACAATAGAATAGTTGCAGGCTAGTGCTTCTGCGTCTCTGCTCTACCACAGACCCGAAGCCTGAAAAACTAGGGGACATGAACTGGTGTTCTTGGCTTGGCTTTCCACCTCCGTTTTTTATATATTTATTTATTTTAAGATACCAGGAAGGGCAAGGAGAGGCTGTTTGCCAAGAAAGTGGTGTTTAAGTTGACAGTTCGGATGGATGTTTGTTTGCTTAGCCTCCAGGCGAAGGGAAAGTAGAAATCAGGACCAGTCTAGTTTTTAACAGGAACTCTAGAAAATGACAGGATGGGAAAGGGAGGGTAGAGGAGCAAGAACAGCAATCACCTAAACAGGAGGGGAAAATAAATAAATTAATTAAAAAAAAAAAAAAAAGCCACAATTTATTTTGGTTGCTTCCCTTTCCAAGAAATATATTGCTGTCCCTTTAACTGTGTATGCCTCATTGGCACATGTGCCAGGGGAAGGATTACACTTTACTAAGGAAGTAATGCAAACTTGTCTTCATTTGGTTACCATGGATATGGTACTATGTGAGACAAAGCCTCCCATTTGCATTGCAAACAACCAGGAGTGATGAAGGACACCAAACTTGATATTCTGGCCACAGAGTATCCCTGGTTCTTCCATGTGAATGATCACAAGGAAAACTACCACAGCTCTGGGCCTGCTCTTGATACCATGAAAACAAGGGATGGGATGCTGCCTTTCCGATCAGGCAGAAGCAGAATCACACACACCTACAAAACGAATGGTGTTCCTTGTGCTACCTCATGTGAAATAGCTAACGGATATGTATGGCAAACATTTAGCTTTCCAGCTTTTTCCCATGGGGAATGAGAGCTGAATCAATATGTTGGTAAACTGGAGTAAGTGATTTCCACAGATACTGGAACGGAATAGAGAGTGGCTAGGTCGTATAATTGCTGGGCTTTTATGCAACAGCTTTTATCTATTCGAGTGTCCTCTTCATTCTGCAGAAGTACTACATAAAGTACCTTAATTTTATACAAAATCCAGTTAAATGAGTGAGAAGAACAGTCCCCTAAACAGACCTAGTGGGAACCAGTGCAGCACAGTTAATAGCAAAGAGGGAAATTGTCTCGTTTCCCTAAAACAAATTGCAGATGATTGTTTGTCTATTAGATTGCTAGATTGTCAGTAATTCTTTTTTATTGCTTTAAGCTTTGGCAGATATATAGTCACACATCATTTTTATTTCAACTGACATGGAATACAAACAGTATGACCCTGTTTTCTATGGATAGAAATGGCCAAATTGCCATTGGTCTGTGTTAAAAAAGAACTGGATCCCAAACATTAAGCCCAAATCCATGAATTGAGGGTTTTCTCTCCAAGGAAACTTAGCCATGGATTAACTGGAACAGTAGATCAGACATTTGGCACAAACACTACTTCCTCCCCGAGCACTGAATGGGGCATCCAGGCACAACTCTGGTGGGGCTGTGGCAGCTATACCACACCAGGATACTCTTTTTGGCTCCCCAGTTCAGGACAGCAGCCTGTGGCCACCAGCACTAGGTAAGCAGCTTTCCTGTGATATAGAGGACACAGACAGATCGCTGTCTGTCCTCACACACCATTCTCTGTGGGTGCGCGTGTGTGTGCACAATTAAGACCACCAATCCTTTAGTTGCCCAACAGAGGGTCCACAAAACAATAGTTGTGCACCAATGCAATCCCAGTCACTTCAGTGGGTTTGTTTCCTGCTGGTGTCAGTGAGCGTGAGCAGAATAAGCCCCAGATGTGTTTGTCTTTTCCCTTTCCACTAAAACAAGCAGCTGGCACCATGCCTAGCCCTGCATGCATTTCTGAAACCGTGCTCTCAGAAAGCTCAAGTCCACTGCTGTTGTGTCCCTGAGTAAACACTGTGAGCAAAGAATGGCAAGCTTTGCAAAAGAGTTTTGTTACCTGCTGCCAACAACCACCAAAGGGACAGAGTCCTTCAGGGAATGTCCTGCTGGGTGGAAGGACAGGGAAGCAGGCAAGTGTTAAACACAGGAAGAGTTCCCTGCCATTGAGGTTCCCGTCTGAGCACCATTAGACTTTACCTGCATGAGCTTCAGTCTTTTCTTACCTTTTGAGAGCATACAACAGGGAAATAAAGCCCAAGCCCAAACCCTACTCTTTCTTCCTCCCTCTCCATGCCAGCCTAAGAAGCAGGTCAAGAAGGGAGAGGGAGGAGGGACGTGAAATGGCAGCAAATACCTGGACTGGTAGCTCTGTCCGCATGTCTCTGACAGCTCTCCAGGGCTTCCAAGTCCTTGGGCTCCCCTTGAAGTGCTGCAGAGTAGAGAGGACATGTTGCCCTCACCCATCGTCTGGTCTCAGTACTCTTCCAGATGCACCCTGCAACAGCAACAGGAAAGGCGTGGAAAACCACCGGATCAGCCTGTCTTTTCAGACCAAAGCAGGTGCAAACCCTCACCATACATAGGTCTCCTGAAAAACTGAACTTAGTATTTCACTTACTTTTAGTCCCTAGCTTCTTGCCTTTCAGGCTCCTTTCATTCCTCTGCACCATAACAGATTAGGAAAGGTTTCTTGGTATTTCTTTAAACATTCATGCACTGGCAAGCAAAAATGCAGTGAGGCAGGCTGGATGGCAAAATCTCTTGAATGACAGAAGTACTCAGAGTGAATAATCTTGTAAAGTGCTGTTTTATTAAAGTCTGAAAATAAGTTTGGGCTTAGCCCTCCAATCATTAGATCTGTTCCCTCTGTGTGTTCAGTCCTCCCTGTTTATTTTGGTTTAAAAAAGAAAATGTTGTCTAAAGTTGTTTTAATTCTATTAATCTTGCATAACTACCACAGGGATGGGAAAACTGGTGTTCTTTCCTCCCCACATCAGCATGACTGCAAATTCTATATGAAGATGCTGAATCTATAAATGGCAGATCTCCTGCTATTTCCACTGGTTTCAAGGGAGTTACAGACAGATATCCCAGAAGAGGTAAATGGCCCGCTATTTTTATTTCCAGCATTGTCAAAGCCAGAAATAACTCATCCTGACTTTTACGGACAAGGCTAAATTTGCAGAACTGGAATTTAGAACAGTTTTTTTTTTTTTTTTTTTTTTTTTCTTCTTGATAAAACTGGGATCTTCAAGTCATAAAGGATATAACACTAGTTAAGTGAATCAGCCCTTGCAATGTCATTCTTACAGGGCTCTTTTCAAAGTATAGCATCAGTGCAAATTATTTTTACATTCATTGCTACTTATAACAATAGAGTTCAGGAGAGTTCTGGTTCTCACCAGCCCTTATGTTCCTTCTCCACTCATATATGAGCTCGGACTTATTTGATTTGAACAACAGTTCACACAGCCAGTACCGATGATGTGATGGATATGCCTTTCACTAGAGTCTCAGTAGCATCATAGCACAAAGATGCAGGCACTGATTCTGCTTCTTTGCAACTTCTCATTACCAGTTCTGACATACTCAGAGTTACAATGGGTTTGGACAGTATCAGATTAGTCCACAAGCAGCCTGACTGACGTCAGTCAGAAGCCAGCATGCTCACTACACACCAGCATATGGGGAAAGAAATCAGATGAGGCTAACCTCCTCCCTCAGGTGCAAGAAGGAAATCTCAGGCTGGAGGCATTACATGCTCACCAGAATTGCTCTGACTGGTATTTAACCATAATTGTTCCCCTCTTTCTCTTCAGGACAAAACTTCAACTGGTTTTACTTGCATATGGAAGTAGACACGTTTTGCCCCAGATTACTCCTGATTTACCTGAGAGCCACTTCAGGTCTAGTTCTGAGCCTACAAAATTCAATTGAAAATTACCCACTGAGAACTTGGTTCAAACTTTGTCCACACCAGACTCTGCTAGCCCTCATGAACACTGATTTTACCCATCTGTGTACTGACACAGGAAACCCTGAGGGCAAAAGTTTTGCTTTTGTGTGTTGATAAGCATATGCTTTGCATACTAGGGAAAGGTAGGAGTGGGACTGTAAGCACATGCAATATGTTGTAGGCAAGATTTTTTGTCCCTTATGCAAACAGGCATGGCATTTAAACAATTGCTAATCCTATCTCAATGTCTGAGAAAACAAAGTGTATAGTCAAAAAGTCAATAACTTAATCTGACTTTATACAGACCAGTAAAACTACATGGCTCAATATCTTAGACACTAGTGTCATTAGACATTCTATATTTAATTACTCAGTGACATAAACTTCAAGCTTCAGCCACTGGTAATGGGGTTGTCCCACACAAATAGGGTAATCCACTGAAGATGGAATTGTTCTTCCCTCTCCATTAGATATACTTGTTATTCTCACAGTAAAATAACAGAAAAGGAATGTTGTCCTCCAAAAATGCTTCTATTGGCATCACCCTTCTGCCAACAGTGCTTAGCTGGGGTAGGCTTACATTACAAATACAGCTTCAGAAAAAGAATAAGGGAAAGTAAATAAGGCTTACCTGTGCCAGTACAGATATTGCATGCTCTAACACTTATTCAGAAGCCAGAAAACAGATAGGTGAGGCTCTCCAGCAGGCTCTCCCGTAACAGCTCAACAGCTCTGAAAATCCAAGGCAGCCTTCATTGCTCCTAAAAGAGAGAGGGCAAATATTTGCATAACCTGGGCCGATATTTTCATAATCCCCACCCATTCACACCAAAACCTGTTTTTCAAATACACTTTACTCCGTGTTACATAAGCGTTCTTAAGAACAGATGTGTTCAGGAAGTTTTGCACAGTTGAGATTTTCCTTAAAGCCGTGTGGGAAGTTGACGTGGTGCAGATTTTAGGGTCATTGAGATGTGTTGTGAGGGCTGTTGCCCTGCTGATGCCACAAGCAAACCTGGATGTGCACAGGGTCGTACATGAACACAAAACATCCTGGGCAGTCTTTGCAGTGAGGCTAACACAGGCTGGGAAGAGGTCCCAACAGCATCTAAAACTGGCCTGGCTTAGCATGGTCAGCCCACACCATCTCCTATAGGTGTGAAGGTTCAGATGCCCCTGGGAAGCCAACCTACCCCAGGGCAGTTGTCAGTCAAGTGTCAGGGGATGGTGGCAGCCACAGAGTTCATCAGAGAAATAAAAATTCCTGGTGCCTTCATGACCCATGGAAATTGCACAGTGCTCTCCAACTTCAATCCCAAGAACAAACAAGATTTTTAAAACAAAGAGACAAGCTAACAAAAACAAACTGAGCACTTGAAATCTAATGAAAATAACACAGCCAAAGCCTACAAAGCTGCTCTCATCAGACTTGAAAAAAGTAAATAAACAGCCTGACAAACAATAAATCCAACCTTGCAAAACTACTTTCAGCAGCACAATATTACCAAATGCACAACTGCTACGAGATGTGCCATTTCATCTGGGGGCAGATTTGAAAGTTCAAGGCCACTTTGAATAGCTCCAGAACACCAGAGATGTGAATACTGAACAGGGCAGCCAATGGATACCACCTCAGGCAAATCTTATATCCTTAGCCTGGCTCAGGCACTGACTTTCACTAAGTATTTTGGACATGTATTTTGATTTCTTTGTCTCTACACTGTACTCTCTATAACATAAGGATTCTGGTAACCTGGCACATATATCCCAGTGTATTAATGTACACATACCACTTTATACATTAGTATTTTATATTACCTACAGCTATCTTCAGTCAGTCCTCACCAGGGCTGAAACATCTATACAAACACATGCTACAAACTCAGAAAGTAAAATTTATGACGGAAAAGGTGCCTTCAAGCAGCCATTCAGCCAGGAAACCTGATCAGAAAAGTCTTCATAATTTCTCCCTCCACATGTACTGAAAGCTCAAAGTTCATAGTGGGTGGGCTTTGTGAAATAGCCAGGTCATGAAAGCATAGTCAAGTAGATTAATTAAACCAATACAGAGAGTAGAAAAATCAAGATCAAAGGAAAATCTAGTAATCTAACCTGAAGCTCTGCAAGAGCTCCTGGAGAGAAGCTAGTTACCATACTTGAATTCAAATAAATAACACCTGCTTTTGTTAACTGTACTTTATCCTTCCCTCTTTCTTCCTCTGAGTCTTCTACACTTTTTGGGTTCCCATCTTGTCAGTGAGAAAATGCCAAATACAGACAACTGGTGTTGTGTCTGCGAGTAACTTCAGTCCATTCACTATCCGTCACTCTCACTGAGGATAGATGTGCAAAGCTGGAACTAATAGAACCACAGCAGAGCCGCATTGAGCTTCATCAAGCTCCTGGTGTACAGTGTTAACTAGTTTGTACCATTGCATGGCATTTTGCCAGAGGTAAACTAGTTTCACAGCATTAGTTGGTATTACTGCACCATGCAGCAAGTTGCCCACCAGAGACTGCAGGGATGTCTCAACGCAAGTTGTGTAGCATGATGTTCACATAACACATCCACCCTTGCAGCTTGGAGGCTATAGTATAATCAATTCAGTGCAAAAACTGAAGCGAAGCAAACTCATCCTCACAAGCTTATTATGTTACAATTTTCTTGACTGAAATCCCAGCCTCTTTAAGAGCAAAAACATCACCAGCCTGGATTAGCAATTTGTATGCACCTGTCTTCCTTTATTTTCAGGACATTCAGTGGACTGTTGTAGTAAAGGTAAAAAATGGAGAGAAAAAAAAAAAAAAGCAAAAAAGCTTAAAAGTCTAACAGCAACACATCATTATTTTTTTTTCTCCAGTGCTCTTTAACCAAGTCAGACACTGTACCCTAATATTTTGCCACAGACAAGATGAAATAATTTATCATTACCATGAGCATAATTTAGTGAACATAAAAAAATATATATATTATGTGATGATTTTCATCAGGGCTCAGAAAGCGGGATTTAGACAACATCTCACTCTCCAATATGTACCCCATTGAGTCAAATGGTGTTCTCAGTTTTCTCTCTAAACACCAAACTTTCCCTATATACAAAATCCTTCATTTTCTTTCTTAGATTTCTGATCTTTCCATCATTTTTATTTAAAACTTTCCCCTTCCCTGCTCCAAAAATGCCAACTAAAGTTTTACAAACTCTTTCAAACCCATTAAATATTTCTATTTAAATAATACCAAAACAACTCATTTTAAATGTTATCATTTAGATTTGAAAATATTTTAATAAACTCCATTTCTATGTAAAAAGATGTTCTGGAGTGGACAAAAACATTGTGATGAAAATGCTATAATGTGACATTCTGTACAAGTCCACAAGAAAGTCTGTCTTAAAGAATTTCAGGTCAAGATTTGATCAAGATGAACTATTTTTATAAAACATTCTTGTTTTGGAAGACCAACATTTTTGATGAGGAAAACATAAAAAGATCTAATCAGCTTTATGTCTAATTCCTTTCCCTTCTCCACCACTCCTCTTCATCTCAGATTACTTTGAGGGCAGTCATGTCCTGTCACAGAATCACAGAATCACAGGAACATCTAGGTTGTCAAAAGACATGGCTTTGTCTCAGTAAGAAGCAGTAAAAGTTTCTGATAAACAGTGTGATCATGATGTTTGCCAAGTAGTGGTAAACTGCTTCTCAGATTTGTAGGAAAATGTTCTGTTTTCTGTGGGAAACTGCAGCACATTCACATCCTTCTCTCCATGCATTCTTTCACGTTTTATGAAGAAAGCCTTGGCTGTTGCTTGAG